ATTTTATTGATTTCATACTTCAAATCATTCCATAATCTTAGTATGACTCTGAGTCTTTGTAGTATAATTGTTTCTTGTTTATTCAAAAGTATTGTATTTGATTATTGTAATTAATCGTGAACTCAATTATCTATTAGAATAGCATGATTCATTAATTGTTTAGTTATATACTATAGTCCATATTTCATTACATACTCTTAATTTCGAGAACACAACTAAAATAGGTAAATTATATCTTGCACAAGGGCGCACAATTCATTGTGCAATTTGGCCAAAACGACGTCGTTTTGTATCTGTTTCTTTTTAGAAATTTCCTTCCCCGTTTCTGCCGTTAACTTTAAAAAAAAAATATCCTGTTTTGAATGTACATAAACTCATAATAGAATACACATAAATTCATAACTTAATACACATAATTAGGGCTGAGCAGCGGACGGTTCAGATCGGATCGCGGATGGACAAATCCGAATGGATATCGGATTGATGTTTTGAATACCCTACCCGTTGTATTAATGATATTTATCCGTTCGGTTTTTATGCTTATTGGATCGTATCGTATCGGTCGGATATCCGACTATTAGTCGATTTTTTTAAAAAAACGAAAAAAAAATTAAAAATAAACCTAAAATGCTCATTAATTGGAAAAATAAAAGTGCAAAACTGAAAGTAAAATAGCAATTAATAAGTAATAACTGATAGTCTAAACTCTAAAGCTCTAAATCTCTAATAGACTAATATTGTAATACTAACTTAGTAATTAGTATTACTAAGTAGTATATCAGCAAAATGATTTAATTTAATACAGGCATACAGCAAAAGGATGGATTACACTATTAGTCTATTACAGATTTACAAAATACACAACACTACAACAGTGAAGTGTCAAGAAGTCAAGCAGATCAGCATCAGCAAGATAGAGATTTAATTCTTTCACACTTTACAGGCAAATCAGTTAGTCAGTCAGCTACTCTTCTTCATGTGAATTGTGACAAGTAACAAGTTAGTGAAAAGAATTAGCACACAAGCAAGCATTACTGCATGTCTGCATTAGAATTCTAAATTAAACACAGAAAAGAGATTATTATATATTTATATAGTTGGCTCAGTAAGCATTTTTCCATATCAATTTTGGATTAAGGGCAAATTGCTACAATAAACAATAAGTTTAGAGCAACTTATTAACTTAATCCTTTTCAGATTATAGGTGGAAGCTTCATCATTGACATGGAAAAGGGACAGATGGACAAACATAGTAAAATAGAAACATTACCAACCAGATTACCATTTACCAGAATAGCAGATGCACAAGGGACTTGAGGCTACAACTTAGAAAAAGTTACCAAGCCTTCACAAGCCAGCAAATTAATTCAACCTTACCATTATCATACATTCATACTTACAGAGGTCCAATGCAATGCAAGCAAATGATCAAGACATCAAGCATTCAAGCCAGCAACTTAATAAAATCAGTTACCATGGCCTCAAAAAATACCAAGTGAGAGATTAGATTGTAATTGAGTCAAATAGTGTAAAGATTGCAATAAATCAGACACAAGTAATTGAGTAAATGAGTAATGTAAAGCATAACATTACAGGAATCGTAGCCAGTGTAGAACCAAGAGATCTCCCACTTCCACCTTCACAACTTAACTCTGCAAAATAAGCCATTTTCAAATAATTAGAATTTAGAAATAAGGAATGTAAATTGTAAAATGTGAAAAAGTCAAGGAAATGTAGTATAAACTTTTTTACCTTTTTCAAACCTCTCCAACCCTTCCAGGTTCTCCTCAATACATAAAGGAGTATTTTGCTGTCTAAGCCAATACTTTGTACACACCAAAGCTTCCACAATTTTTGGAGTTAATGAACTCGACCCAATACTCCCCCAGATGTACTAAAGGCAGATTCAGAGGCAACGGTTGAGATTGGGATGGCTAGGACATCCCTAGCAAGCTTAGACAATATAGGAAACCTAACAGAGTTAATCTTCCACCATCTAAGTATATCAAATGAGCCTTCTTCTTCAACTACTGCCTCACTCAAGTATATATCTAACTCAGTTTTTTTCTTACCACAGACTCCAATCTTTGTTTTTTAATTTGGGACTTGAGTAAATGTTGTGGCACACCACCACTCAACCAGTCCACGGTCCACCACAGCACCACCTACACCAGTCAGGGGACTCAAGGCTTCCACCAGTGACCACCACTCAATGTTTCGCCGTCTAGAAGACTAGAACAGAAGTACAGACTAGAACCAACCGGACAAAGAGAGTAGAGACTACAAAGAAGTAGTCTTTGTCTAGTAGAGAAGAGAGAAGAGAGAACTGAGGACTAATATCGCAAGGTGCGACTGCGCATAGAGAGAACTCAGAGAAGAGAAGGTCTCATCTGGAAACCCTAAGAGATGAGACTGACTGCGCAAATGAGAAGAGAACTGAAGACTTCTGCGTATCAATATCAATATATATATATATATATATATATATATATATATATATATATATATATATATATATATATATATATATATATATATATATATATATACTAAAACTAAACGACGTCGTATTGTACTCTACATACGTAACCCTACTTTCAATCGGATATTCGGACGGATCGGGTTGAATTTTTTGCCCCCCTACCCGAATGCAATAAACCGACGTCGTTTTAAGTGACGGTTCGATTTTAAGAAATCGAGTTCGGCTCGGTTCGGTTCGGTTCTGCTTGGTCGGGTAGCGGTTCGGTCGGGTTTCTCGATTTTTTCAGATTTTGCACAGCCCTACACATAATCTAACATAATACATAATACACATAAACTTTTAACATAATACACATAAACTCATAACATAATACACAAACTCTTAACAGAATACACATAAACTCATAACATAATACACATAAACTCTTAACAGAATACACATACACTTTTAACATAATACACATAAACTCTTAACTTAATACACATAAACTCTTAACATAATATACATAAAATCTTAACATAAAAAACGACATCATTTTGAGCAGGTCGCACAATGCATTGTGCGCCCTAGTGCACGATATAACGATTGGCTAAAATACTATTCATAAAGAGTATACTTCTTAGATAAAAGTTAATTTATCAAGATTGACAAATTATTGCGTGGATCATTAAAAAATACGTTTTTAATATACTAAAAGTAAATTATTTGTGTAATGAATGTACATTATATAAAATAATGTACTATTAGTACTCAAATAATGTATTTTTCCTGAATATAATATACATTATTTATATAGTAAAAGTATATTATTTATGTAATGAATATACATTATTTGATAGTATGATCCACAAAATAATGATTGATCAAAATTACCATAGACCAAAAGCAAAACTAACATTTTGATAAATATAGCAAAATTATAGTGGTAATTAAATAAGAAAACAAATACATCAACGAAATTATCACTTGTTCACCAAGGCTAACATGTTTGATTCAAGTTATCATATTTTCAGGAGTTAATTCCAGCAATGGTCCTCAGACTATGCTGATTTTTCATAATTGATCCCTGACTTTTAATTTGGACAATTTAGACACTTGACTTTTAAATTCTTTCCAATGTTGGTTCTTCCGTCAGATGAAGGTTAAGTGGCTGGTAAATTAAGGGGTAGATTAGTCATTTTACATAATTGTATAATTCTCCTCCGCCAAATAGATCAAAATCCCCAAACATCACCTAGTGTTCTCCGACAACCCACAGCCCGTATGCCGGCAACCACCATGTGGGGGGTTTCTCCGGATGCTGCCGTTCACCTCCGACGGTAGTGGCGAGAGCAGCCAAGCCCTTCGCGCCGCAGCGGAGAGCACTTCCGACGACGCCCCATCAGAGTGTGGTCGTTCTCCAACAACAATTCAAACCAAATTCTCCAGTTCCAATTACAGTTCACGCCGAACCTCGATTTCCACGGCGACAGAGGCCCTCTTCCGGTGAATATGAATTCGGACAGCAACCTGGGCATGTTAGCAGCTTTCAACAATACTTATTCAAGAACACGGAACGACCTGAATATGAATTCGGGCGAACAGCAACAAACCCGAAACATATTTGGGTGAACCAGCTTGTCGATAACTCGGATCTGGTTCTCGAATTCCCGGAACCAATGCATGCCGCTCTTGCCGATGCGACGGACGGCCAAGGCGGTGCCGTCGTCCAACACTGAGCTCTGAACCTCTATGGCCCGAAGACTTCACTGTAAGGCTAGAACGGCGGCGACGACATGGACTTGCCAATGATGTCTCCAGCGACGTTCTTAGTCGCCGACGAGATTTCCGAGCCCCGAACAGGTGAAACCCATAGTTGCAGATGAGGGAGCCGTCGTCCGTCGCCTTGGTCGAAGAACGAAGTGTTGACAGGATGGATTTAGGGATCGGATTTCGCAATGTATGTGCGTATAGAAGGGAGGGAAAAAGACCTAAGCAGTTGAAAGACTATTTTATCCCTTAATGTAACGTCTACTTAACATTCATCTTACGGAAGGACCGACAATGGAAAGGATTCAAAAGTCAAATGTCTAAATTATCCAAATTAAAAGTCGAGGACCCATTGTGCAAAATCAACATAGTCAGAGGACCATTACTGGAATTAACTCTATTTTCAGTTTCACATTTTCATAAATCAAATTATATAAAAAATTTCAAGGAAAATTTTTTAAGTTATAAAGTATTTGTAAGATTCATCTCTACTTGTTGGAGTTATAACTGATGTTGCAAATTTCATCCTCTTTTTAAGAGGTCATGCTCATTTCTCGTCCCTAACATTATAACTGACGTTGCAAATTTCACCTCTAATGTTTTGTTAGAAAAATAATAAAACTTATGACGTAAATTATAACTTAGGAGCAAAAAGTGAACATGACCAACAAATAAGGACAAATCCTACATTACCTTATAATTTAAAGACGAAAAGTGCAATTTTTCCCCCTTAAAAAAAATGTACAAAGGCATTCTAAAAAATCTCACATTCTAGAAAACTAAACGTAGACATAACATTCTATTAAGTTATATGAGATTTGCAGGCCCATAAAGAGAACCAAACACACCCATATAGTCCTGTATACACAATTCCAAAAATTATTTCCATTCAATTCTGATTAGAAAATGCAATCATCTATCAATTTGTCTTCAGGGTAAAAGTGCTGAGCCATAAGGGGTTCATTAGGGTCAGCTCACAACAGAGGCACTAGCAAAGCTTCAACTTTGTCATGAAGATTAGGAAAACTTTTTTGCCATATACAAAGATTTGCAATGAGTTCCCACAATGTAACAATTGATTACTTGGCAAAGTGAGACAGATGGGTGAATTGCAATGGATGGTGATTAGATAATCTTGTTTTTGCACTAATTGCACTGGCACCCAACCTGTCATTGTCTCTGGTCAACTGCACTTGCCTCTCATAGTTGCCGCTTGGCACGAGATAACAGCGCAAGTATAATCTTCTTTCGTGGCCCCTGCAATGGATAACTCTTGTAAGAAAAGCAGACAGGATGATGAAAACTGAATATCTATGCACCATATTAGTAATAGAGAGAATGAGGAGTGATAAGAAGGCAGAAGGTCGAACGAAGAGGGAAAATATTAAGAGGATTTAGAACTGAATAGGAAACTCATTCAACCAGTGAGCTTATGCCCGTGCGGGCAATATTTGGAGGAAAAGACCAAGGTTCGAAACTAAGCAGCGACAATGTGGGGATTATGCCCAAAGTGGGCAGATCCCTTATGCACATTGGCATTTGGTCCTGTCTGCTGAACCACTGAGTTACCATGATTTACATCCTCCCAAATGCTCTATCAGACCGAGGTGTGGAGGGCCCTTGAGGTTGGGGATTCAACCTTTTGAGAATTGGGAGAAGGAAACTCATTCAAAAGCTAGATCTAAATGTCCCATTCAATACCAGTAAATGTCATGTCTCCAATTATATATCCAATCACCACAATCCACAAGTTGGGTAACAAGTATTTTGGTTGATTAGTCATAATTAAAAAAAAAAAAATGGCCATAAACAAAACTAATGTCTAACTGCCAGGCAATCCTTATTTGCATTTACAGCATCACTAGACACCAATTCCACACACCACTCTTTCAGCTCTTGTTCACCATTAACCAGGTATATGGTCCCACCCAGTGTGAAGATAATTACCTAACATAATTGCTGCTAAAGTGGGAAAGATATAAAAGGCCAGTATAGAACTAAAACTAAAAATAAAACTTTATTTTCTCTTTATCTTCTATTAGGGGAATTGGGTCAGGGCCCTTGGGGATACTGAATTGAGGTCATTTCAATAGAACAGCTTTATGCAATCCCAAGTCCCAACCGTAAACTACATGCAACAGATAAAGATAGAGTACCAAACTGTGGAAAAGAGAACCACAAGTATGAATGTGATGAAAACATAGGAACCAACAGGAATATCAAACAGGTCAGAAATTAAAACCAAAACTTACCATAGGTATCCCCAACTCCTTAAGATCATTGTCACCCATCTGCTTCAAAGCATGCATATCCACCTGCAGATTATCAAGTTTAGGTATGAAAATGCATCTTCATAACACTGTTCTCAAACCCCACTCTAGCTTGTTCCTCATAAAAAGTTCAATTCTAGAATCCAGAGAGTAGCCTACTCACATTCATTGGATAATGAAATGTTCATAGTATTTTGAATATATGCACTCTATATTTTCTCCACCATAAATGTGGAAACAATTCTCATTATTGATTGAAAGATCAAGTGGAGTCCTACCTCCTCAGCCTTAAAATTTATAGCATATTTTTCCAGACCCAATGAGTGCAAAAAGCCATCAACAGTAGGTAGATCCTCACCCTGTATTAACAGAAAGGTTAATGAGAAAAAGCATTTAGTAGCCTGAAAACTAGCTGCTGCTTCATTCACCCTTCTCAGCAGCTTAATTACCCTCCCCACCACCCCCCCCCCCCACCCCACGCAAAACTGTTATTGCTTCGTTCACCCTTCCTTGTGCACTTCCAAGGGCAGAGGGGGAGCCAAACAATAAAAAATAAAAAAGTTTGACTTAAACATAATGGACAAACAAATGATAATGTATTGCAGATTTTTGACAATATGTTCATATGAGCTGGTTATAATAAGACTAAAAAACATTGGATGGTTTGTATTCTGATTGATATGCCACAGTTTGACTGTACAGAAGTACAGAATTTAAGAATTCAAGGCTGAACAAATCAACTGCAAAAGGTTAAGGCATTCTATATTATCCATTAGATTTGAAGTCTTTTGTCGGTGCATGTCATGTGTAATAAAGTTGATTGATAAATAATTGCTACTTTGAGTCAATCTATGCCATGTGTATTAAGTTGATTGAGAAAGAACAAAATAAAGTTCAGATGACTAAACCGCAAAAATTGGAAGGTAGCAAACATTTGAGCAACCCAATAGATAAATTAGGACTCAGGTTCATGGTGGATAACTTTTCTACAAATAAATTAGAGATAATTCAAACTATGATAAGGTCTTTTAATTCACATTTAGATACAAAATGGCAATAGAAAGATACAAAATTATACTCAAACTACTATAAGGCACCTTACAATGTGCAAACAAATAAATATAAAACTTGATTGTATGCAATGATATAAAACTTGATTATCCCATGCCTATAAGGCACCTCATGTCTCTGTTGATACCATGTCAAAGACATAGAAAACTTCACTAAACTTCATTGTATGCAATGATATAAAACTTGATTATCCCATGCAGTCATGCACAAATAATTTATGAATTTAAAAACTTGTATCCCTAAGAATGAGTTGAAATAGTGATCTTTAATTACCAAGAGAAAAAATGAGCACATAAATCATCTACACTACGCAATTTCGCATGAAACTTAAGGGCCGGGAGAGAAGAAAGAAAAAGGTTTAGTAGCTTTTACTCCATATGAACTTCTCTGAGCTAGTCCACCAGGATGAGGAATTGGTGCATGCATTGGCACCATTGTCTTCGCAGGTGCAGCGGGTAGGGCAGTGCTTGACAAATATGTAGAGCTCATGGGCCGTGAAAACTGAGAAAAATCTTTGCTACTGTATGAGCCCAGTCTAGGATCATCATATGCCCTTACTGTAGGCCTTCTCTGTAATTCTTCCCCGCTCCTTGGGGGTGAAACACCTCTGGAACTTAAAATCCCATCTGGTGATCTGCGCCTTAAACGTTCCAATGTCCAGGGTGAAAAAGAGCTTCTCATTGAGTCCATTAAAGGCAAAGCATCCACATTTCTTGAAGAAGGAGCTTGTCGAAGAATGTCTACACTCTGACGGTCAGGCACTTGATATCTGACATCCTTTAATTCAGGCATACGCTGTCTACTATCCCTGGTATCTGGCATTAGAGGTCTAGATTCCCTGCTTTCAGTCATCCGCTGTCTAGAATCCCTGCCCTCAAGCACACGCTGTCTAGAATCCCATGTATCTGGATAACGATGTCTAGTTTCCTTTGGCTCAGGCATACGGTGCTGTGTATTGGTTGGTGTTACTGAAGATTGTGCTGATCTTGACAGCATACTGCGCAGGTCCACACCAGTCTGCTGGCCACTACTTTGACTTCTTTTCATCACAGATTTCCGCATAATTTTGAATCGAAGGTCATCTTTATCAAGCCTTGCATCTTTAACAATTAAAATGCAACAAAATCCAGAAATTTGGAGTCAGTCCCAATTATTAAAACTTTAACAATATGCCAACGATTGGACATAAATCATTACCATCAACACCACTAGAGGCACTACTGCCCCATCCATTGCCATCTCCCCGCTGACTGACAAAGACAAGAAAAAGATAACTTGATGCCTAAGAGAATTGATAACTCACTATCTTAATGCATAAGCTGAAATTATAACACCTTCTAAACTCACTTTCTGGCATTCATTTTCTCTTACTCTATCAAGGAAATGTGTCGAGTTCAATTTCTCTTGTTGTAATTATTAAGCCTCCACAATAGTCGTTTTGCCCATGACACAAAAGTAAAAACTAGCACAATGCCTAACACAATACTAAATGATAAACATTATGCTTCATCATTACATATTATATTTTATATGCACATCAATGCTAAAAAGTACCAAGTCACACAAACGAATAAACATTACTCCCACTGTACCGTTTTATCTGTCCTATTTACTATTGATCAAAACCAACCCTTTCTTCTTTGTTTCTTTTCTTTAATATTTTTTACCTATTTTTATATTTGATTTTTTGTGTTTGATAGTACTTTTAGTGTAGTTTCTAAATATATAAATTTTGTATACTAATACTTAACTTAATACTATAAAAAATCGAATTAAAAATAACTTCAATCAAGTCTCATTATGAGAAACAAAAGCCCAAAATGAGACGGAGAGAGTATATTGCAATACACATTCCCATCTTCAGCAAGAACAATCTTTTATGGTGCAATATACCGTTTACTACTGAGTTGCGAAGTAGAATCCACAGCAGCTCCAAGCCTATCTCTAACTGACCGTTTATTCCCAGCTGCCGGCTGCGAATCATTAAACGAAAAATCTATCGAAGACGCTGCTTTCTTTACCACCTGTAAAAAATGAATGCTAACAACGTATGAACTCGTGCAACCGCGGATAAATCAATCACTTTAAACCATAATAAACCACTTATCCAAAAAATCAGTGAAATTTTTATAAAACGATAGAAGAAAAAGTACAAGCGAGCAGGATTACATACTTTCATTGTAAAATCACATTTACGAAAACTCAATAAATTCTCCAATTTCTTTTTCTCTTCCAAAAAATTGAAGCAATAAGTGAAAGTTATGCATTTACCTGGCCACTGCGTCCTAGGGTTATGGTGACTCGTGATGGAGGCTCCGCCATTTTGACCATTCAGAAACTCCAAAACCCTATCGCACCAATCAACTGTATAGCAATATACGATATTTGGAGCATCGGAATCACAAGAAATCAGTATAAATCATCGTATTAGATTTCGTATTCCTTGCTCGCAATTTTGTACGGTATACGACTCATGAATCGCTCAACCAGTCCTCCGAAGTCTGGATCGGGAGGAAAGTGAAGGGTTAAATGGTGGAAACTCACGTGCGCAGTGGACTAAGCGCGTGGCAGCCATTGGTTAACTTTTGGACCAATCGGTTTGAGATGGGTTGCATAATTGGCCTTCATCAATCAGTTGGGCCGACCCAATTTTCCGTTACAGGGCTGGCCCATTTGGTATGAGATGCCTTTCCGAATTACGGATTTCATTGAGTTTTTAGCACGTGAAGGAAAGAGGGAGTGTGAGAGTTTTATTACAAATCCCCGCATTTTCTAAAAAATAAAAAGTTGCTCAGCTAGAGAATTACGAATAGGAAACAAGTTTCTATAAAACTACCTACCTAAATTCCTATGACTTGTTAATCTATAGAGATTTTATATATAAGAATATATTCCATAACAGACCCCAACGTAACAAACCATAGAAAATTTACAGATTCCATTGTCAGATCCAATATTCCCAAAAAAACAGTCAGAGATATTACCATTTGCAAATGAAAGAACCGACAGTTCAAGGGTGTTCCAAACTTTGACCGTCTATTGGCAACCCACAAAAAGATGATACGTGGACTCCGCATGACGTCTGCACATGTGACACATCAACGAACAGGCCACCAACTTCATGTTCAATGTATCTTGTGTGGGTAAGAACTCCCAGGCCAACTGCCAGCAAAACCATCATAACATAGGATGGCATAGCTTGGATGACGTTTTTAAGGACAACCTCTCTTCCCGCGCAATACAAGAATTTTACATTACAACTTCGGACCTTGTTTAAAATTTTTTTCTTTTAAGAAGCCAAAGTATCTCCTTTTTCTTTCTACCTACTAACATGGAAGCTAGTGTCTCATTCCCTTAGAGCATCTCCAATCGGCGGTAAATCTGTAAATTTCAGCGACATCTCACCATTTTGCCAAAAAATTTCATCTCCAAGGTGCATCACTAAACCGCCATCTCGCCAAATTTTTTGGCGTTAATGAACAGTGTCGCGCCATATTTGGCGTGACACTGTTCATCTGCGTCAACTATAAAAGGGAGATGAAAGTACCATTTTGCCCTTGCTCTTTTTTATAATTTCAAATGTATCCTTTATTTGTTTTATATGTAATTTTTTATTTTGTTAAATAGTTATATTTAGAGTTTGTATTATTAAATATAAATTATACAATTTTAAAGATCTCGTTGAGACGATCGAAACAAGACTAATATTGAATATATATTAATTAAAGTTTCAAATGCATCAAACATAACTAAAACATAATAAAAATTAAAATACATACAATATACATCAAATATGACTAGAACATAATAAAAATTAAAATACATATGACATAATATTGATATTAGACAATTTAAAGATAAAGAAGCTCATTATGCACTCCATAATGCATTGATTGAGCATTATAGGGAACGATTTAGTAATTTCGATAATTAAATGTACTAGATGTTGTATACTATATTATTATGGAATAAATTAAATTTTTTATAATAATTAATGTTATAAAAAAATTAATGTTAATAAAAATTATTATTTACATTTCAAATTATATTTTATATTAAACTAATTATGTTCGAACTAAATTATATTAAGCTAACTAAATTCGAACTAATAATTGAAAAATAAAATTATTTTAATGTAAAAGTTTGGTGTTTTGATGTTTTGATGTAAATGGGTTGGAGATGAATAAAATTTGGTGTGAGAATATGTTGAGAATATTCCTTTTGATGTAACATTTGCTGAAAAAATTTGATGTTTTGGAGTTGGATGGGTTGGAGATCCTCTTACACCAAGCACTGTTACAACCTCATCTCTGACTTGATGTTGTACATTAGTACTAAAACAACCCACTGACTTATCATTTTGGCATAATTTTGAATTAATTCAATTTTTTTTTTCATTCGCAAAAGAAAAGAAAAATTTTTCAGGGGTTTCTTTTGTATATAGTAAATATTAACTATATATTGTAGAGCAAATAGTATATACCTATATACTATGGACCACTTAATTACCAGCCTACCAGGCCATTTACGGACTACACTACTACAGTAAAGATGATAATGAGATGGTTCCCAAAAAGATGAACAAATGCAAACAATTTAATGAGCATCCCTTTTTAATAATTTGGAGTCAACCATCTCTAAAAGTTTAAAAGTAATGAATTTCAACACATTAAATTATATACGTTGATGATAAATAATGTATTAATTTAAGCATGCCATTCATAGAGCATTATTAACAAATTAATTAAATTTAAGTATATATTATAATCCAGATCCCTATCGAGTCTTAATATATGATAATTAGCTAGTCCGCACAAGCTTAGCTCACTGGCTCAGTAGACAGTATTTAGGAGAAGATCAAGTGTCATATAATTCTCTAAAAGAAGTAATCATAATTATATGAATTAATCTGACGATAATACCCCTAGATTTAACACATATTTAACAGAAATCTTAATGGAGGACTATTTGTGGTAAAAAATGATAGTCAAGGTACATGTTTTGGTCGAATTGAAAGTCGATGACTAAATGGAGTACTAACCCAATAGTCAGAGGACTATTTGTGGTATTAACTCTAAAAAAAATTAAAATATATGAACCAAAACACATTAAAATTAATAATCATCAAGAAATAAAAATAATGCTATGCATAGTTCTTCTTCCATAAGGTTGAATCCTCGAATGTCGATGCATGCAGGAGATCTATCCATTTTGGGATACCTTGATTTCTTTTTCCAAATACTGCCTACTGAACCCGTGAACTAACCCCATGTAGGCTAATAGTTTGCATAGTTGAACAACCAAAAGTAATATAATATAAACTCTTGTTTTGATACATGATGCCAAAATAAATACAACTATTAGGTGAAAGTTATCTTTTTCCTTTTAAAAAAATACAACTATTAGGGTTCGTTTGGAAAGCAGGAAAATGAGTCATTTTTCAAAAAATATTTTCTTTTCCAGTGTTTAATTGCATTCTGAAAAACTGTCTTGATGTGTTAACTGGATTTTTCTATTGCATCCAAACACTGAAAACTTGGAAAACATTTTTCAGAAGTTATTTTTTGAGTTTCTAAACAGACCTTAATTGAGTTAGACTTGAATTGAACTTCACTTATCTGATATTGATGGATTATATGAACCCGGGGGTCCGGATTATACAACCCGTATATGTAATGGAATACAACGAACGAATAATAAAACGGTAAATATTGTATTAATTGGATATAAAACGCTATTACAGAGGTTCGGGACGTGTAATAACAAGACAAATGTTGTAGGAAAAGTATGAGATGCCTCATTAGGACACCGGGGGGTGTTTATATACCCCTTGGCTGCTGCGGGCCCTGGGCCTGCGGGAGGAGTCGCGGCCCACGCCGCGGGACTCGCTCCGCGCGACGACCCGGCCCTTGGCCGAGCACGGAGCTCGGCCAAGGGGCCGAGCCCACGGGGCTCGCCCGAGCTCGGGGGGTCGGCCCACGCCGACCCCTACTGGGCCGACCCCGGGGTGGCTCGTCCTGCATCGCGGGTGGCCACGGGGCTGCGAGGAGTCATCAGCGCGAGAGAGTAAAATAAACTTAATAATTACGGGGCCCCGAATTATGTTCCCCAAAAAATTCAATCGTTCTTCCTGTAGAATTCTTGGCGTGATAGGACTCCTAACTAGACTGGAATTCAAGCCTGCACCTATTCTTATCAGTTTAAGAGTCCTCATCCTACTACAACCCTTCCACTTCCCCTTTAAATACTCCCTCCATCTTCCCCAAACCTCTTCACATTCCCAACACCACACCTTTCCTTCTCCCCTAAAATTTCCCCCCTTTTTCCCAAAAAAATGTCTTCTCTTTTTCCCCCCCTTTTTCCCCCCTCCCTCCTCTATATAAAGTAGCCTTCCCTTCACTCCCAACACACACACAAAAGCTCCCAAAATCTTAAAATTTCTCTCCCTCTCTTCCCCCAAATTTTCCGCCCAACTTGCCGCCGCCGACCGCCTCCGCCGACCAGCCGACCCCGACCCCGACCCACCCCCTGCCCGAGGCCGACCTGTCCCCGCCGACCCCGAGCAGTCACCGGCCGACCCCCGCCCCGCCGAGGCCGACCGTGCTCTCCGCCGTGTCCTCCTTCCGTGCCCCCTTCATTCATCTCCTCCTTGCTTGAGTCAGGTGAGTCTCGTGCAAACCCTCTTTTAGAGTTCCCCATAGCTAGCTTTTTATGAGTATAGTGCCTCTTGTCGAGGACACGCATCCGGTAGGCCTACCCGTGATTATTAGTTATTGGACCGTCCTAGATTCCATTGACTACTCGGACCTCCCGCCTAGTGATGACGAGTCCATTGACTTAGACCGGTTTCCTTCCCCCTACGTTGAGCACTATTACATTGAGTAGCCCTATACCCGGATCCCTTCCCCTTGAATCAACACACTGTACTTGACTCCGCCATCCCTCGGGGACTTGGGTCCTTCTTGAGTCCTCACGATATCGCCGTGGCGAAGGCCTTGGTCGGCCCGTCGGCTGTGGTTCATGTCCCGCCTCCCGGGACGAGTATACTAGAGCCTCCCGGACCCAATTTCTTTGGGGTCCATGTTACATCCCTCGTCATGGGTTTGGCTTTCCCGCTTCACCCCTTCATGATTGAGCTCCTGAACTTTCATCGTGTGTCTGTGGGTCAGCTAGTCCCTAACTCCCACCGGGCGGTGGCGGCCTTTATTGTTTGATGTGTCGAGGTGGACATCCGCCCTAACCTAGCCCTTTTCCACTCTTTTTTCACCGCGACCAATTCCTCTTCTAAGGAGAGCAAGGGCTACATGGCGTTCTCGGCTCGGCTGGGGACGAGGATTATGGGACACGTACGGGACTTCAACAAGGGTTGGAAGCCCCGGTTCGTGTTCGTCTCTACGGGCGAGGCGCTCCCTTTTGAGGTGCCTTGGGGCGGGTACTTTCGTAAGTGTCGTTGCCCAAAGTCCACCCCGGAGCTTGAGGTCTTGGCTCGGGAGTTTTTGGGTGAGATGGCTGATATGTTA